TCTTCCGAACTGGGCCCCGTCAAAGGGGTCCTCGGCCGAGTGTGGGAATGAGGCCGTGCAGCCGATGGTTGGCTTTGGGACACTGAATACGTCCTATGATCAGACTGACCCCTGCTAGACCGAGAGTGGTCCGGCCTATATTGAGAGTCATGCATTACGGGAGATAGGGAATCCTCCTTGTATGACCCTCCCCCCGAGCCGGCACCCTTGGGAGAGTTCCGGTCCGGCGAGGGCGATGGTGTAGGGGTTTTAGGCTTTTCGCCCGCTCCTTGACGGAGGCTTTTGCTCTTGCGGTTCTTAGCCATGGCTGCTAAGATAATTGCAAGATGATCTTAGTTAGGAATTTGGCTTAAAGATTTTTGAAAGTCTTCCCCACAGACGGCGCCAAATTGTTTCGGGTGAAAACAATGGGACCTTGCCGAAGGTCCGCTGAAACGGAGAAGACTGGATTCGGTCCAAGTTATGTTGGGCCGAAGGTTTCCTGCACAGTAAACACACGTAAACTAGCCTCGGGGGTGTTGCCGAGGAAGGCCCCTCCGATGCTAAAGTCAGTACAATGTGTAAGAAGTAGACACTATGCAAGAGAGTTTTTAGCTTGAGGCTTTTGTGGGATATCTCAGAATGTATGAATGAACATATGAATTGTTATGTGTCTCTCTTAATGAATCAGAATATAAATGTCTTTTATACCTCATCATACATGGAGAGGTTGGGCCTTAGCCCAATTGGCTTGCTTTGTGGGCTGACCTTTGACTTTAACACAATTGGAGAGTTGAACCTTGACCTTGGGCTTTTAATTGGATCATTTAGTGCTTAGGCCCAATTGGACTAAATTGGACCCAAACACATGTAGTTAGCCTAATATCTAGGAGGTTTTGGCCTAACTGTACAAATCTTCAACTCAACATCATCAATAGGAAGTTTATCAGTAGGGAAAGGACAAGGTACTACTTTACCAGGCTGCTTATCAGGCAACAAATCACAAGCTTGAGGATTAACCCCACTAGTAACCCCTTCAATGTTTGTGCAATTCCACTGAACTTTATAATGTTTCTCAGCCAAAAAAATAGTCACATTAGAGAGACAGATCCCAGTGAACTTATCATTCTCGATTCCTGCAAGATTTCCTGACATCTGAACATCCACAGCTGTCACATCCTGGTAATTGATCCCACTGATTATTGGCAGCGCCTTGGGATCGAAACCTGGATCAGGGTGGGATCCGTAATCGCCAGTCATCCAAAACACATACTTCATTGTACTCAGGGTCATGCCCTTGACAAATATGTCCTTAACAAAGGCACCCCTTCCTGGGGCTGTCTTAATTCTGACCCCTGATTCTGTGTTGATTGCTGTGATTTGTTCTGCCCTTACATCTTGGATTCCACCTGACATTTCACTACCTAAGGCAATTGTTGCACTATCAGGGGAAATGCAGGTTATTCTACGAATGTTTACGTGTTGTGTTGGCATTCCGAATTTAATCCCATATTGATCCCAACCACTTTTGATCGCAATACAGTCATCTCCTGAGACTATATAGCTATCCTCAATCCTGACATTCGTGCAAGAATCTGCATGATTATAAGAATATAGGTTGAAGAGTTTAGTTTTGGCGATATAAGTTTGTACACATCCACAATGTTACTGAAATTTTCGAAATCACCTGGATTGATCCCATCTGTATTAGGAGAATCCACAGGAGCTAAGATGGTCAAGCCTTGGACTATAACATTGCTGCAATAAAACTTAAAAGATTAATTTCATAGGAAGAAAACTAAAAATTCAGGTCAAAATAAATTATCAAAAGACTAATCAACCTGCTGTAAATAGGATGGACATTCCATGAAGGAGAGTTCAGTAAAGTGAGATTAAAGATTTGAACTTGATCAGAGAACATAATCTCGATTAAGGACGCATTAAATTAAGCTCTTGCTTCTTAAACTTGTCCCACCAATAAGCCCCTTGGCCATCAATTGTTGCATTGCCTCCTATTGATTTAAACAAAAAAACAGATGCATAAGATTTTGATAATGACAGTCTGTTTAGTAAGACAGATTATTAGCTAGAGAAGTTGGTTATAGGATGATTAAGGTTTTAAGAATATTACCAGTAATTACAACATCAGTAAGGTTGGTTCCAAAGATGAGACTAGCATATCTCCCGGCCGGAGCATCCCTGCCTTTTCCATAGGAAGGCAAAGGAGGAAGAACAGGCCATTCTGATTCATCCTGTTTGACATATAAGAATGACCAAGAAACTAATGATTAGGAAATGAGATCCTATGGTTTATAAGTTCAATATTAGGTGTAATATGGATATACTAAAAGTTTTAATCCCAAGATTTACAAAGTAGCCGATTATTTGGGACACCCTAAAACAAAATTGATGCCAATTGTTGGACCGAGGGATTAATAAAACCCTGTTCCTCCCATTTATCGATGTATAAATTTGATAAGTTCGAGTGGATTTACATACGTATATACACAATAGAGGATCTCATGCCTCCCATTGTCCATCCAAGTGTTATATTTAACAAGTGAGAGTATGAGATGCCGTGTTTTTAACCACTCTAAAAGCACAGTTCTCTATACTTTAAGTGCACGATATAATTTGACTGAACTTTAAATAGGGACATTATCAATGACAACATTTCAACTAATTATGTTTAGAAATGAGTTTTATTACCTGTGAAGCAATAAGAACGGCATCTTTGTCAAGGTAAAGAGTAAAGCTACTAGTGAGATTGAAGCTGCCAGTCAGCCACTTCCCTGGTGGAACAATAAGTTCTGCCCCGCCATCAGATGCATACTTGCTTAGGCTAGCAATGGCTGATCGAAACGCCTTGGTGTTCGACGTCTTTCCATCTCCTACGCCTCCAAAATCCGTCAAAAATGCACCATGCTTTCGACACCCTTTCGGAACTCCATCTTCCAACACTCTAAGCGTTCGACATTCCACTAAGTTGATGCTTAGTAGTACGATAACTGATAAAAAGGCCAAAACCACTTCATAAGCCTGTTCCAATTTTAAAATGTTAGAATCAAGACAATTGGTAAAATCATCCAACAATAATAGTCAATATTCTCATCATATCCAAAAGATTACATATAAGTGATTTATTTTTAAAAAATTCACAGAGTAAAAATTACAAAGTACGAAGTATATTTTTAATCAATAAAAAGTTATGAAAAACACACAATTAGTCTATTTAGAACCGAATCCTGGACGGGATCCTCTCTAGTAAGGATCCTGTCACTGAAAGGATTTTTTCTCTCAATTCAATAACCAGGAAAAATCATCTCCCCTTCGAAATTATTTACGGAGTATTAGAAAAGATTTTACTCCGTAACTATCAATTTAGCTACTTGAGTATGTGTTTTACATGATGATACCAACTTCGAACCCCTATAAATTGATGCATCAAATGAAGAATGACACACAAAGGTTGAGACTTTACATGGTATGTTTTGTTCTTGAACAGTAGAGAAGAAGACATTATTGGAGTAGTACTTTTGTTTGTGAAATAAATATTAAATAAAAACAGTCATATCAAGAATTTTATGGGCAGAAGAAAATAAATAAATATCAGTATTAAAGGAAACTGAAAGATTTTATTTAATTTATAAAAACAGAAAGAAATAATCAAGGAGTACAATTACATTAAATTGGTAATAATAGATTGTTATTAATGAAATGTATCTAATCTGATAAGAAATTAAGATAGTCTGAGTAGAAGATTTCGTAACGCAGAGAAGAATGAGATCAGCAAAAGGCCAAAGGGGGCAGGCGGAATGATGTTCGCTTGGTATATCGCCCTTCAATTTATGCTACGATACATACCATATGATAAAAATGCTACGGTACATAGTTAGATACCATATGATAATATGGTTGGAATTAAATTTATTGGATTTTTTTTGTTATATAAATTTTCCAAATTGAGTAAAATCTTAATTGATCTTTATGATTTCCTACTTCATTTGTCTAATATAAGACCAGTAGGGCAGTAGAATTCAATGGCAATGTTCATTATTGTTGAAGCAGATATTGGTGAACGATATCTTCCTACCAAGTACAATTGTCTAGGGAATTCTCTATCCTTTCAGCTAGATTGGTTAGATTAGTATTCCCTCCGTTTCTTTTTAAATAAATAGTTTGATTGTGTACGGTGTATATTTGTATATTTTAGCATTACGTATGCAGTATGAAGATTTGGGCAAGGTAATAGAGTTTTGCATTGGTCAAGTCTTGCATAAGCCCAAGTTGAGAACCAAGTTGGACATAGTTTAAAAATAGGTGAGCCGTGTGGGTTAGGGTGAGTTTATCGCCAGATTGAGAGTTATACTCCAAACTCTGACACATTAAATTTCCATTAGCTTTTAATTATTTTTTTATTATTTAGACTCATATAAGATTTTTTTTACTTTAACACTTTATCCCCAAGACTCCATTTCAGAGATTCACTAAGAATATCTTCAAACATTATTTTGGGTTGATATTAAAAAAAATAAAAAAATAAAAAAAAAAAAAAAAATCAACCGATAAAAGCTGGACACTTGGCAGGGGTGAGTCTTGAGTTGGGTTTTGGACGAAATTCAAAACTCAACTTGAAACTTTATGTAGTCTTACTTTCTTACACTAGTTTATTGCACAAGACCCATAATAAACTCAAGTCAAGACTCGTGTCAAGACTTGCAATAAACATGCCTTAAAGGTTTTTTGTCCTACGTATTGTCCTACGTAGTAGATGGTCAATCCCATTTGAACCAGTATCGTTTTCTAAGACAATAATAGGACTAGAATGGATCACCAATTCACCATGGTTAGGCCAAAAATTAGTTCATGCTCAATATTTCCAAGCCAAATCGACTCGACTCCTGACTCAAATCACAATGACGCTCAGTCTTCTAGTCCATCCTATGATCACTTAGCATGAATCTCCGCTCTATAGATGAAGTTAGTACTACCCTTGTCAAGACTTATGGTAGACCTAAACATATTTAAAAACAGTCATATAAACGCAAAGTCTTCATTATGATCAAGAGTTGTAATTTAACTAATTATACATAAATAGGCATTACATGTAAAGTTCACATACTAGTGTTACATAATACCAAATAACCAAACACAGAGCAAACCTTACATAACTTAAACCGCGAGAGGTGCTACACAATTTTTGAGCTCCACCTCTTCAATTGGCAACCTATCCTCAGGGAAAGGGCACTCCACAACCTTCTTATCCTCCCTTAACAACCCGCAAGGCCGAGGCATAACCCGATTCGTAACCCCTTCAACATTAGTACAATTCCACAACATTTCCATAGGTTTTGAGGCCAAACCAATTGTAACATTTGACATACATATCCCCTTAAAAACATCCCCCTTAATCCCTTCCATATATCCTGGCATGCTCACATTCTCTGCTACCATATCCATATAGTTAATATTCTTGATGGTAGGTAGCGCCCGCGGGTTGAAATAAGGGTCAGGGTGCGCCCCATAATACCCTGTCATCCAAAAAACATATTTCATGGTCTTCATTGTCATTTTCCTTACAAAGATGTCCTTGACAAAGGCTCCCCGGCCCGGGGAGCTCTTGATTCGGATCCCTGACTCGGTGTCTATGGCAGTGATGTGCTCAGCTCGTACATTGCGGATCCCACCCGACATCTCACTCCCGAGTGCAATGGTGGCGCTCGTTGGAGAAATGCACGTGAGGTAGCGGATGATAACGTGTTGCGTTGGCATGTTGAACCGGTTTCCATACTCATCCCACCCACTTTTGATTGCAATGCAATCATCTCCTGAGACTATGTAGTTGTTCTCTATTCTTACATTAGAACAAGAATCTGTACAACAATACAAAGCTCATTAGTTAAACAACAACTTTTGATAAGAACCTTGGGATTATTTTCAAAGTGTAGCATATACAATGATTTAAGCTTCTTCCAAAAGTACGTAAAAGTCTGTGCATGTCAACTAGTTTAATTGGTTAAACTTGAGACTTCTGGTCAATTTTTTGTCAACATCATCTATCATTTGTGGTTCTCTCTACACCAAAAAAATTTGCGAAAGATTTACAAATTGAAAAAATAAATCAATGAATTAGAAAATTACCTGGATCAATACCATCAGTGTTAGGAGAATGAGTTGGTGCAAGGATGGTCAATCCACTAATAATCACATCTCTGCAATGTTTAAAAAGTAAAGTATTTAATCACCTACTCATCATTATCCACTAATTATGAAATCATCCAATTTTTTGTACTTTCACTTTTATCTTGAAAGGTGCAACTTTGTAAAGTACTTAGTTCACAAGCAAATTAAATTAGGGAAGAATCAAGAATGTACCTGCAATAAACAGGGTGAACGTTCCAAAACGGAGCGTTGAGCAAGGTGATATCAGAGATTTGGACTCCATTAGAGTACATGAGTTCTATCATGTGAGGCCTTGTCTCCGTTAGCTTGTTGCTCCTAAATTTCGTCCACCATGCTTCACCTTGCCCGTCAATTGTTCCATTCGCGCCTGTAACCAATCAATATATGTAGATTGAAGAAATTAGAAGGCTTGTGCAAATGTATATCTTTTCCTAGGGACCTAAAGAGGGTGGGAGCCATGAAGTCCTTAGGGTGAGAATTAAAATCCGATTTTAGGCATGGAAGATGAAAGAAGCTACCTAATCTCTCCTTCCACATTTTCTCGATTGAAAGGTTTTTAAGTAGAGGATAAAAACGATTAGAAAACCATGTCTTAAACCATAAGGGCTTAATTCACCTCACCTAAAACTCAATGAGCTTATTACATGAAATATAATAAAGTTATATGAATGAAAAATAGAGATAATGTGGTGAGAACAATCATGAAATGTGACATCCAATTTTGTTAGCTGGAGGCAAGAATGATAGCTCAATCCATTTTAAATAAACTTGCTAATGTATTACTAAGAAAGCAATTGTTACAAAGTCCATACATTAGAGCATATTTAACTTGATACACAAAATAAAATAAAAAAATCCTCCCGTTGTTTAGGAAGGACGAGGTTGAATATTTTAGTCTCTAAACCTCACTTATTCTGTCAATGTAGACTATAGCAATCAAGATGTAAAATGACTACTGAAAAAGTCCTTATACTGGCAAATCATCTTTCCAATTGTTGTACATTCTAAAGATCAATTTTGAGTTGTGAAACCAATTATGATCAGGATTGTCTACTATAGTTAGATCATCGGAGATGTATAGATAATTTGGCTACCAACAGAAATTTCAAATGGAAAGAATGATCAAGACTTGTGAAAAAATGTCAATTGATGGTACAGGGGACTAGAGTACAAAGGATGTATTGGCTAATTTTGCCTTTGGATGTTAATGAAAGATGAGAGCACGCGATGGTCCCATAAATGAGAGCATGCGATGGTCCCAAAGATGAGAGCACGCGTTGTAATGCTATGAGATTTAATAATATATTTAATCTAAGACAGTCTCACCTAAGACTACTCATGTAAGTTTGTAAGAGAATATGATCGAGTTTCAAATTTAAATTTGGGCTGCAAAGTTACCTGTAATAACTACATCGGTAAGGTTGGTTCCTGAGATAAGACCTTGATAACGACCAGCAGGGGCGTCTCTTCCTTTACCATAAGATGGCAATGGTGGAAGTATCGGCCAGTCCTTCTCATCCTGCCATAATCAGATAGATACACCTTAATCATCAGATTTACTTTTCTTATTTATGTCATATTTGCCTTTTCAATTCCTCATATTCTACAAATTATTGAACCTACAATGCAAGTGAATTGACAAACGATATTTTACGATGTAAAGAATACTAGGTAGTACAACATACAAGAGACAAGGGGGTAAGACAAACGAATCTTGAGACAAGTTTGTGACATGGTCCCATCTACAAACAAGCTCAGGACACTTAAGGCAATAGGCATTGAGCCATCGAGCCACGATTAGTCCAACATAGTGCATTTTCAAAAAAATATTCGTAGCAGGGTTGTGCTGGGCTAAACATTACTCTTCAACTGTCCAGGATAAGAGCTACAACAAACTTTTTAAGCAAGGCATTCGTAGTAAATCGTTATAAATTTCAACTTCTTTCCAAGTAATTATATAAATGTGTTTTTCCAGTTATTCATCGAATAAAGGATGTCTAATTATCACAAAAATATGGTACAACTTCAAGGGTAAAACAAATTTAGAGACAAAAACATAAATTATGTAGGCCCTTGGGACCGACTTACCCATGAGCCATGAGACTCATGACCAACATGCTCATTATTTTTGGAGATAAATGAGCAGCAAGAGTAAATAACAATAATGAAACCTTTCTTTGCAAGATCTAGGCTTGGAGACATGCTTCATCATAACTCTATCAACATAATCCGGATTATGATTAATTGATGTTGACCGTTTTTAAAATTCTCATACAAGTATACAAAGTACTAAGGTACCTACAAGAGGTTGGAACAATACGACAATTATCAATTGATGAATTAAATACGATCTAGTTAGTGATTATTTTGGAACACGATAACTAAACCTGCCAAAAATTTATCGAAAATAACAAATCTTATCGACATTGCACTGGTTTAGAACAGGAAATCAGGCAGCCAGATTCATCCTTAAGCCTTGTGTTTGAAATGCTTAACGTTTTCTGTAATTTGTCCCTTTTGCCCATCATCAGTAAAGGGGTCATCCATACTGCTGATCTAAGATGCAAAACTTCCCCAACTCCCAAAGTTGTGGTATCTTTCCTTTATTTTTTGCTTGTTTTACACTTGAAGTCAAAAAGAGTGTTGTTTTCTTTCCTTTTTGTCTAGGATTCCTTGGTACCATATCCAATATTTACCGTTATACCGGCAGCTTAGTATTTTTCAATTATCCAGAAGTTTTATCTTATGTTTATCAAATACTTATGTATGATCTAGATATAAAATATTAGCGTGATCCCTGTTGTTCCTAATATAAAGCGCACTTTGGAGCATAGTAAAGACCCGTACATTACATTAATGCGTGTAAACAACATATTATGTGTTGCACACTCACATGTACTAATATTTGTACAACACGATTAATGTGTGCGACACTACACGTAGACGTGGATGTAACACGACTGTTCAAATCCTCTTGGACAAAAAAAGAAAAGAAAAGGAGGCAGGGGATACCTTTCTTTCTTTAACCTTTCTTTATTAGAATTTGTATCCCTTAGTTAATGGAGCAAATTAAGGCAATTCTTTTTCTTTTTTTCACTTTTTAGGTTGATTAAGAAAGGAATTAAGAGTAGATGCAATGGTCAATGGACCCCTTTTTTCAACGAATGAACACTCCTAAGTCCTAGTACTGTTGGGACAAGCAACAGTATATCTAGTCTGTAACTTCCACCTAAGTTTTAATTTGGGTCAAAAGACCTCAACTAACTGCTTGAATTTACAATAATTATCTTTTAGGAATCTATCTTTATCACACTATTACTTAGTAGCCGTTGTAGGTAATCTAGGTATATGACGAGTTTGTTTATAACCATTAATTTACACTCCTTTCGCTCCTAAAATGTTTCCCATTTTGAATCCCTCAATTAAAGAGTCAATTTTGACCATCTTAATGCGACGAAAGGTGAGGGTAACAAACTTCATTTCCTATATTCACCCATTCCCTTCCCAACCTTAAATTACAAATATTACCCTCCTCAATCAATCCATAATTTGATACAAGGGAATCAATTCCTTAGCAGCCCTATTTAACTTCAAAACTCTAACAAATGATCAAATGGGACAATCTTAATGGGACGAAAGGAGTACCACCGTACCAGATACCAATAAGCATTACTCTTCACATTTCTTATTTGTTTCTATTTGGTTTCTTACATTCACAAAAACTCCATCAGTTCCATACCCTTGTGTCGAGCACTAACAAATGATGTAAGAATGAACTGAAACGAAACGTAACGCAATAACACACACAATTTGACACGTAGATAGTGATCATCATAGACAACTAAAAAAAGAAAAAGAAAAGAGAAACAAACCTGAGAAGCAAGTACAACAGCATCTTTGTGAAGGTAAAGAGTAAAATGGCTGATAAGAGAGAAACTGCCAGTTAACCATCTTCCAGGAGGGATGATCAATTGGGCTCCACCATCAGGGGCAAATTTGGAAAGATGTTTAATTGCTGATTTAAATGATTTGGTATTCAGAGTCTTTCCATCTCCTTTGGCACCAAATTCAGTTATAAATGCACTGTGTTTTCTGCAGTTTACTGCTCTGTATGATATTGTTGGATGTCTTTTTACCAATTTGCCCTCACTTCCTCTTATTGCGCTCATCAAAAGCACCCAAATTGCTACATTGTATAGCACCCCTGCTTTTACCTGTTTTATCCCAAAAATTACAACAACATAAAATTAGGATGTTTTATAAAAAAAAAAAAAAATTTAAAAAAATTAAATAATTAAAGAAGAGAGGAAGAGAACTTACAAGAGAGTATTTGGGTGACATAATTTTGAAGCCTTTGAATAAAAATTGCAGCTTCATTTATTTTAAAAAACAAAAAATAGTTGGATTGTGGTGTTTTTTTTTGTTTTGTTTGGAGTGGAGTTGAGTTGAATGAAGAAAGAAAGATGAAGAGAAGGGTGAATTTATGGAGTAATTTTAGATAGAGGCAGTGGAGGGCCCAAGTGATTAAAGTCTAGAAGCAGGTGTAAACTGTTTTTGATAGATTGAGAGCGAATGTGGTACCAATTTTTTTTCAAATATATTGCTCTTTTATATTAACGAGATTAAAAAATTAAACCTACCTACTTTGTATATTGAATTTACATGGAGAGATGTGAAAATAAATAATTAAATCAAAAGAAGCGTTTGAAAAAAAAAAAAAATCACAAGAAAATGAGGAATACAATTAACAATGTCAGATATGTCATTACATGCACCTAACATTGTAGTTGGTGCTATAGATTACACCCACCTGTTGACCTGTTGTAGATTTGTGTCACTCTTTGCATCAAATCTATAACAGTGCCATATAGGCCATTCAAAACTAAGTGACAACTATATTTGAAATTACATACAAACAAAATATATTAGTACATGTAATATGTAAAGGATTTCAACAAATTCAAAAGTGTGTTGAGAGTTAGATGCCTCAGGAAAGAGGGTATGAAAGTTGAACCCCTCACCGCAAGATCAAGCACTAATCACTGTTCTACCATTGCATCTTTCAATTATTATCTACTAGACTACAATCATGAATGTTGATTGAAAACACAAACAATTGTAATTTCAGTTGACTTCAAAATTTGGCAAAGTTGGTCTATTGTTCAAGACTTCAAGCCAAGCTCCATGAACGGGTGTCCAAACAAGCTCTAAAAATAAAAAGACTATAAAAACATCACATAAAGATGTGGGCTTTTTGTTGGGTATTGTGTGTGAGAAATGAAAAGGACCTTTAACCCAAATAAAATTCACAATAATATGGGCCGCATATTTATATATTTATGGTTCACATCGTAGTCCAAAATAAGGAAAATAATATTCAAGGCCCACTTAAGATTCTTTTACATGTGACTTAAGAGTTAAGACATGAAATGAATCCATCATGAAATGCAAGTATTATTCATCCATTCATGAATCATGATAGTCATAACTAGAGTACATAATTCGTAAATATGAAACTATGAAAGATGATATATATTAAGATATCAACTCATTAGACATCTATAAATAATGAGTTTATTATAAGTTTTGTATCATGATATCAATGTAAATGGTCTACTAGTAACAGTGGCGGTTTCAGTATGAGTCCAGTGGGTTCAGCTGAACACGTACTGGATCCGAAAAATCGCAAAGGCTTTTTGTAAAGGAAAAAAATAAACAAACATGGGTTAAATATAAAACAGTGTACTAGACGTTATTGTATGCAGAGCAGTCTATGGTTGAGGTCTTAAACCTTTAAGACAAAAGACCAAGGTTCGAAACTGTGCAAATGCAGCAGCCCTCTTTTTTATTCTTTGTTCTTATTGTATTAACTTTATCCCCCAAATCCCCAATTCTACATACTAGTATATAGTCATTAAATAGCTTATTTCTCTCTCCTCACTCTCATCCAAGAAGGTTTGATTTGAAATTTTTGAAGTTTTAAAATTGTTATTTAAGCTTGTAAAATTGTTGATTGAAGACTTATGGTTGTTAATCGAATTGTTGAGTGAAGTTGTCATATACCAATATTGTTGATCGAAGTTGTGAAATTGTTGATTGAATTTGTTAATTTATTTATTAAACTAGTAAATTTGTTGATTGAAGTTGTAAAATTGTTAATATAAAATTATTTAATGGGTAGTGTGTAAATGACGTGAAATAGTAAAGGTCAATATTGATATATTTTGGCCTTTAATTTTTATAGTTTTGAGATGAAAGGTTTAAAGTATATTTTGGAAAAATCGTGAGTTAAAATCATGAAATTGTCCGCTTGTTCCTTCCCAAATTAAATTCAAAACTGATGACTCTATCTCAAAATGAACATCTAACACTTGAAATTGACATGTATTGTGCACACCCAAATTATTAGTTTAAAATTTTATTTTGAATTATGATGATACTTGATTTTACTATATATGATTGGAGATTTCGAACCCATAAGAACAAAATCCTGAAACCGCCACTGACTAGTAATGTCTGTCCACTCTTACTTTAAAAGTGTTACAAAAATTTCAAAGAAATGCAAACATTGCAATAAAAAAATTTTCTTCATCCGTTCATCCCTTCTCTAATAGTTGCTCCATTGTATGAAGGGACTGCACTTGAGTCATGTGGCAAGCTTTTTTTTTTTTAAAAAAAAATGAAAAGTCTTACTGAATTAAAATTCCTTAAAGATTAATCCGACTTAGGTTAACTGACTAGATACTTTAAAAATGGGGGGTCAGCCATGTGGTAGGAGGCAGCATAAATTGGTCATGTAGACGATGTAGTCATGCATGTTAATGCAAAAGATACACATGGCATATATTGTTACTCCTGTTAATAATACTATACCTTGGAATCTTGAATATTGTGATTAATTCACCAATCCCCAGGTAAAAGCACCACGGAGTAGCATATAATTTCTTTTCATGACGAAAAATATACGGAGCATTAATTTCATAAGATGGTCTTATACTAACATGCATGCCTTCGTAGTTCGAGATTTGGATGCGAGTATGCAACCAATTACTCACTCACGCATGCAATCATAATATGTCACTTGTGAATGATGGACACATTAATTACTCGAATGTATGAAACTTAGGCCTAGTTACTTATTTACGAACTTGGGTTGCTTTGTACTTATATTATATATATTGACGTCCAGGATCTAGGAAAATATTAAGAGAAAAACTTAAAAAAAAAAATATCCCACATTATTGGATATTTATAGAGCTAGGGGTAATAATATTATCCCACACCAAAAAATAAGTAGGGTGTCGGACCTAAACCCATAAGGGTAAATTAAAAGGTATCCCGAAAAATGATGAAAAATAAATCTATATGAAATTATTTCAGTAGTGATCCAATAATATACAGAGTAAATTAATAATATAGTGTCAATTCTCGTGAAATTTTTGCTTGCGTTGGACTGTTGACAAAATGCATAGAGCCACAAATTTTCACATGCAAACCTTACGACATGCACATTTAGGCACAATCCTACACAAAATTGAGGGCAAGTGATGTCTATTTCCACAATTGAACCATTATTCATATGAAGACATGAAGTCCATGCAATATTTTGCTCATTATATGGATTGGTCCACACCAAGGCAATCTAAAAGGATACTGTGGTAGGGGGTACGAAGGAGCATTATTAAATTTTATGTAAGCTAATTTAAGAGTATATCTTATACGACTATCTATTATATATAAAATGGGTCGTACATATATTTAAGGGGGCTATTCTTATTTTACTAGATTACTTGTACTTGTATGGTTTTACGTTAGGAGAGAAAAGTATTATTTTTATTAGTGTAATAGTATACGCCATATATGTTGGTTTAATTTATGTAATTAATAATGAAAAATAATTAATATATTTTTTTTGCTTGTTAGTTCTAGGTACCACATCTAATAATTATTTATATTCTTTGTTTCCTTACTAATTTGTTTGATATGTTTCCTAGATGACCAACACAATCAAAGTGTAAGTGAATGGGGTTATAGATGAACTATATTGATTTTCAAATACTACGTTGGAAATTCCTAATTAATTTTTCCTCTTTTGTGGGTATTAATGGAAATCTAAAATGAAAAATACAAGATTAGGTATGACATTTGGAGATATAGCATCATTATCAAGGACATTGACATGAGCCTTTATTAATGGAACTACATACAACTTTGTTATCGTTGTCCCAAATTGTTTTCGCCAACAAAATGTACACTTTAATTCTCGATCAATTATAGTTAAAAAGTAGTGTTGACATTTGAAAATTTTGACATAATTATAGTAGGTCGAAAAAATTCCGAAAGAATTAGGTAATGTTTTTTTGCAAAATTAATTCATCCCTTTTGTCACCCCAAATCTTGATTATAATCCAATCGCTAGTAAACCAATGGCTATTTGTTACCCTTATTAAAATATAACTTTTGTCATTGAAACTTACACATCAAACTCTTTGTGCGCAACTTTAGGGAACATCCAATTAGGTTAAACAAAAATCCTATTTATCGATTAATAATAATGATTATTATGTTGATCATTGTATTGGCCTCTAATTTACCCATTAATCACCATCATACCCAATATTTTATTTACTTTTGCTTAATATCCCGTATCATATATTTAAAACTTAATTTTACATTGCAAAAATTAATGAGCAAGTAACCTCGGGTGTACGGTACACCCGAGTGTATATAATAGACTCTCCCTTCATATGAAAAGGGGTATAGAAAATTGTGCTCTCACAATCCACGATGGGTGTGCCTAAATTACTTTTTGCTGTGTTAAAATCACTTTTCCAAATACGGTTAAAGTTTAATCAAACCACATTGGATTGGAATAATTTTATTTCATGTGAGCACACGCAAATGGAAAGGTGGAATTGGGCCGTGGTAGTGAAAATGGGATAGGCATTACTTTAGTGTAGGTAGATGGACACGTGGAGGTGTAGGGGTCGCTGAAACCGTTTTATACAAACAACGCGTATAGGCCTATAGCTATAGAGATTAGAGAGTGGTGGAGGTGGAAAAGAAATTGAAGGTTCATGTTATTATTGGTGGAGGTCCCAACATCGAATCCTTGTAACCAAAACATATGAACTGAATTTTCTGGTCTCACCTTCCACTCAAAACTGACTCATGTCGCAAACTCTCAACTATAATAACATATTAACATCCCATTATTGCCCAACGTGGCCAAATTTGGCAATTTCATCTTCTCTTTCGTTTCCCAGACACGAGTAATCGAGCATAATCTCTTTTATTTTTTTAGTTGGTGTGGAGAGAGTCAATAAGACAAATAATGTAAGCGAGATTTGATTTCTAATTTTGAGTTCTCTTCTTTAAAATTTTAAAAAGTTGAAATTGTTGATCATTGATATTTGATTTTAAGTCTTGGATATCTTTTCTCAAAACTTTAACTAACTAAAGTAATTGGTTAACTATAAATATCTTTCATTTATATTATTTGCTGAATCATAACATTAGATATGTTGGCACATGCACGTTTCATTCATTTTAGGTTCTACTCCCTATGTCCCTTTTT